TTTATAATAAAGCGTTCGCTTTTTCGCTTTTTTCGCTTCTTCGCTTTTTCGCTTTTTCTCGCTTTTTTCTCGCTTCGCTCACGTTCGCTTCGCCTGGGGTCCTCCAGGCGAGATAAGCTCGCCTCGCCTCGCTTCTCGCCTAGGCGAGCTTTTCAAAACACTGGTCTGGCTAGTTGAAGAATAATCCTTTAGTTTACCACCATATAAGGCTTGTTTCCAGGCCTAAACTTGCAGGTTTGATTTTCTACTAGAATATGGTGTTGCAAATTGATGTCAATTAGCTTTATGAATCTTCTTTGTTTGTTTGTTTTCCTGTTCTGCTTTTTTTTTTTTCATAGTTGATTGCCCCTTGTTTTGCATAAGTTATTGGACTCTATGCCAATATATAAGTGAATGCATCGTTTCTCAGTGTTTGTTTTCTTGGCCTACTTTGGCTTTGAGTGCCAAGTTTATTTGCAAGGGTCCAATATGGTTGCAGAGTGCTTAGCTTTATTGGATGGGCTTCAGTTGGTGAAAGAACAGAATTTTGGGAATTGTAAGCTGTGTATCGAATCAGATTCATAGGCTTGAGAGCTTGGATTACAATTTTGGGAATTGTAAGCAGTGTAAGCTGTCCAAGATTGTGAGGTTGCTTGAGAAGTTGGATTACAGCTTTTGCCATGTGTACACAGGGAGGCTAATGCTGTTGCTGATTGCTTAGCCAAGCTGGCTGTGCAGAACAGAGCTTCGTTATGTATCCCAATGACGTCTTCTTTGCCTGTTGTAGTGAAGATGGTGTTGCAGTAGGACAGAAGGGGTATTCCTATTATGAGGAAAAGCTTTGTTTTTTTCTCTACCCAGCTGTGTAATGTGGTAGGGTTTTCTTAATTGTAATATGTGAGGTTGTGGGGCGTTTTGAAGGATTAAAGCCATAAACATGGCTTTTCATTTGCTTCTTGTAATTCTTTGAAATTCATTCAATAAAATTCTTCGATGGATCTCACATGAAATGTGTTGGGATAAAGTATTTTTTGATTTGTATGTTGTTGTATGAGATGTTATAAAGTTAATATGTAGGATATAACTTGAAGTACTTACCAACACATGTTTTTTGTTTTTATTCTCATAATTTGATAAACATAAATGACTCTCAAACATGTTTTCTGTTTCAGTGTTTACCACAAAATAGAGACAAAAATTATCTTTATTTTTTATTTTTTCAAAGACGCGAAAATAAAAACGTTACAAAATGACCTCTTTATGTTTGTGCTTGATATTTTTTTTTCATGTCCAGTTTTGCATCTTGTGGCTTTGCGTTTTGTAGTTTTTTTAATCTATTTTTTTTCCTTCTTGTTTCAATTTGATTCTTTTTTTTCTTTTCTTGTTTTGTTCTTTTCTTTTAAATGGGGTGTATATAGCATAGTGTGGATTTAGTTAATAATAGGGTGAGTATAAAAAAGGTGGACTTAGTAATTTGATAATGAGAAATTAAATGGGGGTGAGAATGGAGATTTGGGAGATAGAAATAGCACCACCATTTAAGTTTAAACAGGAATTTATACTTTACACTCGTCAATCAAATTCAATTCAATTAAAGTCTTAATCATAATTATGTCAAATTGAGAATTGAATTTAAGTTCGACTAAATTAACATTTCTATCTTAAAATTTACAAACTAATTTTTATCTATTCCCGTTCATTGAGACGACATAACTTTTTTTTTTTTAAATTTAGTTATTTTTTATTACTTTTACAATCAATTTTAATTTTACTTTAACTTGAATACTCGTAAAATTCAAGAAAAGTTAAGTTTAAGCATGAATATATACTTTATACTTGACAATTAATTTCAGCCTAATTTGAATCCTAATCATAATCACTTCGAACCAATAATTGAGTAAAATAAAAAAAAATTATAATTTTTGGGCAAGAAATAATTTGGAGGAATTTTGATCATTTGATCAATAATTTTAAAATAATCTGAGCTACGAAAATCTCAAGACAAATAATACTAACTCCCTTAGAATATAGATATATCAACTTGGAATAAACGTGAGTGAAAAGAGATACTCAAACTAAGAGTAGAGCCCCGTATATATAACCAAATAATAATAATACAAAGTGACTTAAACATTCTTGTAGTTTAGACAAAATATAAAAGTCGTAGTAAGGATAAAAAGGAAAAAGAAATCCTAATAAACTAAACTATACTCCAACACTCCCCCTCAAGTTAGGCGCAAAAATATCAACTAAGTCAAGCTTGACAACCGAGTCCCGGAGAATGGACAGAGTGACAGGTTTGGTGAAAACATCTGCAACCTGATCACTGGTCCTCACAAACAATGGAGTCACAAAACCACAATGAACCTTCTCCCGAAGATAGTGAACATCAATCTCTATATGCTTTGTCCTTTCGTGTAATACAGAGTCAGAAGCGAACTGAATAGCAGATCGATTATCACAATATCATGTCGATGAAAAAGTCACTGGAAATCCCAACTCACCAATAATCAATTACAGCCAGATAATCTTACATGTGCCAAGCGTTAGTGTCCGATACTCTGCATCTGCTGACGAACAAAAGACAACTGCCTCTTCTTGCTCTTTCGAAAGATAAAATGAGTCTCTCGAAAAGCATAGAAGCCCGTAGTGGATCGACCATCACATGCTCTCCCATAAATCTGAATTTAAATAACAGGCTAAAGTACCAATCTGAGATCCTGATGCATAGAACAACCCAAGTCCAGGACAAGACTTGAGGTACCAAAGAATATGATAAACTGCATTAAGATGAGGCTGACACGGCCTGTGCATGAACTGACTAACTCGGCTGACAGCAAATGAAATGTTTGACCTAGTGTTGGCTAGATAAATAAGTCTACCTACCAACCTCTGATAGACAGTCGGATCTCTCAATTCCTCACCGTCAGCAGTAAGCTTCATGTTTGAAACTATGGGTGATGATGCTGGTTTACACCCCAGCATTCCAATGTCTGACAGAAGATCCAGGACATACTTTCTCTAAGAAAGAACAATACCCCTAATGCTACGTGCAATCTCAATCCCAAGAAAGTATCGCAAAAATCTAAGGTTCTTCACATCGAAAGCCTTCCCAAGGACTATCTTGACCTGCACAGTCCTAGAAACATCATCTTCAGTAATAATAATATCATCAACATATACCAAAAGGATGACACACTATCCAGAAGTATTCCGTCAAATGAAGCAAGTATGATCAAAATAACATCTGGTGAACCGTAAACGTATAACTACACCACTAAAGCGAGAGAATTAGGCTCGTGGTGACTGTTTCAGTCCATATAAAGACTTATGCAGTCGACATACCTTTTCAGCATACTCCCCCTCACCACAAAAGCCCAGTGGTGCATCCATATAAATAATCTCGTCCAAATCACTGTGAAGAAAATGAATTATTCACATCCAACTGATGAAAGAGGCTAAGAGTATTCTGCAGCCAGAGAAATAATTAACCGAACAGTAATGAATTTTGCCATGAAAGACAAAGGTAGCACCAAAATCACGACCTGGTACTTGAGTAAAGTCCTTCGCCACAAGCCTAGCCCTGTGACGATTAATAGTACCATTTGCAAGAAATTTCAGGGTGTAAACCCAACGATAGCCAACAGGCTTCACCCTTGAAGGTAAAGAGACATGATCTTTAATAAGGCCATACTATAAGCTCGAAATGTAGGAGATAGATTATCATAAGAAACATAAGCAAAGAACGGATATACGGTCTTGACAGTCTAACCATAACAAACAACTGGACGACGATCACGTCGCGGATAACGATGCCCTAAATCATCATTCTCCACTGACAATATCTCATCAGGTAAAGTTTCTTGGGATTGGGTTTCGGTGCTTCTTGGTTTTGCTGGGTATTGATTATGAGGTTCTAAGTTATGGCAGTAGTCTGGTGGCAATAGGGTGGCTAGTGACTGCAACGTGGAGGAGGGGTTAGGGTTAGGGTTATGGCTCTGATACCAACTTAGAATAGATGTGAGTGAAAATAGATATTCAAACTAAGAATAGAACCCCGTATATATAGCAAAACAATAATAATACAAAGTGACCTAAACATTCTTGTATTTTAGGCAAAATATAAAAGCCATAGTAAGGATAAAATGAGAAAAAAATCCTAATAAACTAGAATATACTTCAACATATCACAAATTACATATATATTATTTGTCTATTATATCGTTCGAATATTATAGTATTTTTATTTTAATATAAAATATAACATATATTATAGTCATTCGACTCTTTTTAATGCAAAGAATCTATATTTAAAGTCAATTTATTTATTTGAAAATTTTTAAAAATAATCTTTAATTAGAATTATAATTAACGACCTAATTAATGTGTAATATGAGAATGAGAAAAATAGAGGGTTATAAAAGAGATAAAAGCCTGAGAATTGTGGAAGGAATAAAAGTTTTGCTTAAAAAATTAAGGCGGAATTTCTCATTAGGACCGTTGGATCAATATTTTTTCAAATGATTTAAGTCGTGAAAAATCAAAGATAAAGAAATTTAGTTATTTTATTATTATTATTATTATTATTAGGGAAGCTCGACAGTGCGACGGAATTTTATTTATTAATAATTAAATTACAATTATCTAGGGGGACATATGTACGTTAAACCTAGATTCAATTTAATTACATTTAAATAAATAATAGGTAAAATGAACCTAGCTAAAATACAATAAAGTACTGCATGCTAGTTATAACTAAAATTAGCAGCTGAAGGGATCTGAATGAGGTAATAGCAAGCAGCTGCTTTTAATAGGATATGAGCTGAGAGTACCAAGGTGAGCCCTTTGCAGCTGTTATCTTGAGCTAGGAGACAAGCTGGGAGTAATCTAGAGCTGATAAGTCTAGAGAGAAGGCAGCTGTCAGATAAGGCAACTGAACGGACTGTCTTGGAAAATAAAAGGTCAACAGATAGGCTTTCTGATAAGGTAGCAGAACCGTTGATAGGCCACTGCATCTATTGTCACGGTGAGTACCTATCAGGCAAGGAATCTGAACAGAGGCGTTGGCAAATGTAGCCAAACATCTGAACATACTCTTGCATTTTCAATGTGAGAGACCACCTCCGAGTATCCTTTGAGATCTCCACCACATTCAAGCATATGAGAGAGAGCCGGAATCCTGAGAGCACCGAATCTGATCCATTGAAGAGAATAGCATTACACCAAAAAAACATGAGTTTCTTTCTTCATTGCACGAGAGAAGATGAATATCCAGCCGAAAAACCAATCGCCAGAAGAAATGTGAAGAAGATGAATATCTAGCTTTTTTGCAGAACCAGCCATATGGTCTATGATAGAAAGATGAAATATTTTGCAAGGATGAATTCCATGCCAGAGAAGAGACAGAAGGCCAGAAATGACAGAGAAGACAGATCCAGAAGAGGAATAAGGAATGAGCGCCAATCGACAAAAGGCCATCAGCACATTCAAGCCCAAGATGAAAAGAAATCAACATTTAAAAAAAGATAAAATATGATCATTTAATCTTTAAAAAATATGTAATCTTACCGTTAAAGATTTAAATTTATTAAAAAGTTTTGTATTTCATTTGGTATGGGTAAGCGGTAGAGAAACGTAAATTTGGGCCAAAAAAGGAAACGGCCGGAGATGCAGGATTGGGGATGCCCTTACCTAATCTCTCTCTTCTCATATAAACCCTCTCCCATCGAGACCCTCCGGCGACCCAGCGACGCAATGTAGCTACCATTGGCGACCCATCACCCATTATCCTCCCAAAGACCACCATGAAGCCCTCACTCAAGTATCTCTCCCTTTCTTTGTGTTAATCTCTGCATCTGATCTCTCTCCCTCTTTGGCTTCTTTTCTCTTTTTCCCTTTCTCTGCAACCCAACACAGCACAATACACACATAGCCTAGATACGAACACACACAACACGGACATGCACCCACAGATCCTCACGCACAACAAACATAGCACACAGACACCCACACACACATACCCTAACGAAAATTGTTCGGTTGCGATTTTTGGTGTTGTTTTGGTTTTCAATTTTAATTCCATTCAATTTCCCATTGAGGTCGATTAATTTTGCAGCAATCCATCTAATCGCCTTGTGTTTCATTTTGATCCACTTGACCTTAACCAATTTTTTTTTTGATAATCACCATATAGAACACCAAGTGTTTGTGTGGTAATGCTTCATTTAGCTGGCTATGACCTATCTATTTTTCCAGATTCTCGTGAGGTTGCAGGCGCTAATAGTGGAAGTGTTGTACTACAGTAATTGATATGATGGCTCAATTGTATTTTATCAACTCAGGTGCTTGCTTATCAAGGTGGTACGACTAAACCTTCTCCTTCTTTAACTATAATTGATTGGTGATGTGCATTTATGGTTGTACTTTGTGTTTCTGTTTGTGTCCCATTGGGTTGCAGAAAAAAAATTGTGGAAAGTTAGATTGATTTACATATTGTACATCATTGTTTGTGTTGTTTAGTGGAATGAATCGGAATTCTACATTGAACTAAGTCTATTCATTATAGGCAAAGTGTCAAAATTGGAGTATTTTGTACTTCAATTGGAATATTTCGTCAAACAGTGGAATTTGTTTACGGAAGCTTACGGTATCTGTCTGTTATGTTGTATATCTTCGTTGCTTCAAGTTTAGATTATTGTTGCATGAGACTATTTGTTTAGATGGTGTTCCTTTTTTAATTTTAAGTTTATTGTATGAAACATATTTTGAGGGAATTTTGTGCATATATGCTATAGTGATCAAGGCTTGGTTGATCTATTTTGGTTTCTTTGATTGCTCTGTATCATTTAGATGGATGTATTATGTATTACGTATTTATGGCTCTGAAAATGTAAAAGTTTTTATTGCCTTTGTGTTACTTAATTGCATTGGGAAGAGTTGATCCTATTTCATTTCTTTGTTTGCGGGGATTGAACATTGATGAATATAGATATCAGAATTTTGATTTCTATCATCTTTTGTTTATTTTTCAACCATGAATTAGCCCCTTCCGAATATCTGTTAGGTAATGCATTTTTGTATTTTACTCTTTTTGTCGTCCTAATTCATGTTAAGTGAAGTCTCATGGTTTTCGGACAAGAACCAAGGCAATGCAGACTTTTCAATGAAGTTGCCATATGGACTGGGGTGGAGTGAAGTATGAAGTGTAAATATGTTGCATGGATTGGATTGAGAACGAAGTGAGGTCTCCATATGCATTGCTGAGTTAGGTTGGGAAGGGAGGAAGGACTAGCATGAACAGATTAGTATTCTCAGTTTTGATTATTGACATCTTAGGGCAAAGAACATTCGATTATTATTTTAGTTTTAATTTTAACAACATTATTTTATTTTTTTAGTCCTTGGCTTTACACCAATGTATATACACAAAATCGAAGCCTTTGATGGTTTTATAAGTGGAAGGGTGCCTACGATATTGTCAAAGTTAATATGTTTTGCCGTTTTTTGCATTTGAATTATATACACACTAAGTTTGATATTTTAATGTAAAAAGGGATATATAATAGATGACTCTGAATTTGATTTTATGGTTAGTGTAGGTTGAGAGTTAAAAGAGGTTGACACACGTGTCTATGCCAAGAGTAATCGAAGGGGGTGAGTAAGATAAGTGAATGAGATGAAAGGAACTCAAGCTGCCTGTTAACGAAAGGACGAACCAGTTGGGTAGAGGGTAGGTGAAAAATAAAAAATAAAAAAAATGCTCTCACCAGCCAAAAATCATCCTTTACAGTGAGTAAGTAATGTGGGTATTTATAGCATAGTGCTCGGGTAGGTCGATTTGCTCAAAGGGCTGTCCGCCGCAACCCCCTACCACTTGCATTAACCCACAACTCCCTTGACTGCGACAATACCAATGGTCGTTAACGGCGAGCCATACGTCCCAACATTAATTAGGCAGATATGATGTTTTTCTAAACACAACCTAGACGTGACCTCGAGGAAAGTGTGATAGCTAAGGTGAGAGAGGGCTCCCAAGGTCCATGATCGCGACTGGTCACCGTGAGACCATGACCTCGAGAGGACCATGCCCGTGATGCCCCCATCGCACTCCAACCCGGGGTCCTTTCCCTCTCTAGACCCTTCCTCGAGACATTTGTTGAGCTACCCGATAGAAAACCCACATCGTTTCGGCCTTTCAGCCATCAATCCACATGTCTCATTATCCTATATGCTGATCCGAACCAATAACCCCCGGTTACCTTAGGAGTCTCTTCGAATCCCAGTCAAGCACATCCCAACGGACAATGAACCACACACTGGGAGGCCTGCTCGGGTAGACTAAACCTTTGAGACCCTGCCCTAGGCCGAGGTCGACAATCGTACTCATCCACCCCTATTGCTCAATTCTCTCTTGAGAAGGGTCATACTTCCTTGTCCTTAGGTGGGGACACCTCTTAGTCCAGTGGGTCAGTCGAGCAATGACATTCAATAGGTTGAGAATATCATTCCTACAGCGGGAGAGGCGAGTCTCGCCGATGTTGCCCCCACACTTCTGCAATTCCATTTTTGTCAAACCTTGGTGAAATGTCTATTTTGTCACGTCTAATGCGATGGAGACATATCTCGCCCTGTTGCGATGTTGTGCCTGAGAACGTTGCGCCAAGGGGGCGTCGTGGCCAAGGGTGTCGTGCCGAGGTTGCCCCATACTTCTGCGATTCCACTTTTGTCTACCCTTAGTGAAGGGTCCATTTTTCCACTTTCAATGCGATGGGGATGTATGTCGTCTTGTTGCGATGTTATGCCTGAGATCGTCGCGTCAAGGGGGCGTCGCGACTAGGGGTGTTGCGGCCAGGGGCGTTGCACCTTAGGTGTCGCGCATGAGTGTTGTGCCTTGGGCGTCATGCATGACGTTATTATCTATACACGTCAATGGGGCGTCACGGCCAGGGGCGTTGCGCCCAAGGAGGTCGCAGCTAGGGGCGTCGCACTTGAGTGTTGTGTCTTGGGCATCATGCATGACATTATTATCTACACTAGTCCAGTTAACGCTGTTAGGGCATCACGCCCAGGGATGCCGCACTTGTCACTGTTATTTATACCAATCTAGTTGAACTCTGTCAGGCCCCATTTCCATGTCAAATGATATTCGTTGCCACTTGTCCTATAATGGTGGAGGCACGTGTCTTGAAGTTTTTCGAGTACTACATTCGCCCCTACGCGCGCCAGGTCATGGGAATCGTCTTGCGCGCACACACCATTTTCGGACTTCACTTGATGTTTGACTGCAACTATCTTATCGTGGTGCTGATAACTAAAATTTTTTCGTAATATAAACCCAAGTCTTTTACCGTCATTTCTCTATTGCCAAAAACATTACTGTAATTAGTTGCCCCTTCATGCATGGACCTTCTTTTGATGGGCTTTGCATGCATAATGGTCAGGATGATTTGTATATTTTTGTCCTTGTGCAATTTTTTTGAGGTGTATCTCTTTATCCTTATACTAGATAGAAAACCTTGATTATCATTGAGCGGTGATTTTCCCAGTGGGGTGTGGTTTACTTCCTCGAGCTCTTGTTCCTATGGCTTAGGGCGATCCTTCATGCATTCTGGTGCAGGGACCGTATTAGTAGGCATCGCAGTGATGTTAGCCTTTACTTCATGCACCTCGTCTCGAGGACTCACCCTCTCGGTCTCGTAAGTGGTCCCCCATACCATCATAACTGGTTGGAGACAATGGATAGGACACAACAGATACATCTCTGTGGGTCCACCTCCCATGAGGGCTCTTCAACTTGCCTTTTTCTTCGGGCCCGTTCTTCGAGTCTTTTTTTCACACTAATCCTTCACGGTCTGCACTACTTAGTGAGTCTTTCCGTAACTCGTGAAACTCTCTTTGACTCAATAATTTTATGTGGGAAAGTCATAAAACTGGTCCCTGTAATGTAGAAAAAACNCGTCACGGCCAGGGGCGTTGCGCCCAAGGAGGTCGCAGCTAGGGGCGTCGCACTTGAGTGTTGTGTCTTGGGCATCATGCATGACATTATTATCTACACTAGTCCAGTTAACGCTGTTAGGGCATCACGCCCAGGGATGCCGCACTTGTCACTGTTATTTATACCAATCTAGTTGAACTCTGTCAGGCCCCATTTCCATGTCAAATGATATTCGTTGCCACTTGTCCTATAATGGTGGAGGCACGTGTCTTGAAGTTTTTCGAGTACTACATTCGCCCCTACGCGCGCCAGGTCATGGGAATCGTCTTGCGCGCACACACCATTTTCGGACTTCACTTGATGTTTGACTGCAACTATCTTATCGTGGTGCTGATAACTAAAATTTTTTCGTAATATAAACCCAAGTCTTTTACCGTCATTTCTCTATTGCCAAAAACATTACTGTAATTAGTTGCCCCTTCATGCATGGACCTTCTTTTGATGGGCTTTGCATGCATAATGGTCAGGATGATTTGTATATTTTTGTCCTTGTGCAATTTTTTTGAGGTGTATCTCTTTATCCTTATACTAGATAGAAAACCTTGATTATCATTGAGCGGTGATTTTCCCAGTGGGGTGTGGTTTACTTCCTCGAGCTCTTGTTCCTATGGCTTAGGGCGATCCTTCATGCATTCTGGTGCAGGGACCGTATTAGTAGGCATCGCAGTGATGTTAGCCTTTACTTCATGCACCTCGTCTCGAGGACTCACCCTCTCGGTCTCGTAAGTGGTCCCCCATACCATCATAACTGGTTGGAGACAATGGATAGGACACAACAGATACATCTCTGT